CCACCCTTAGTCCTGCCACTCTGCCCTTCCTGATGAGGCTCTGTCAGTGCCTCCAGGAAGGGCCCACCTGCCTCCCTGGTCTGCGGGGACCTTCCCCAGGCTGGCAGATTCTGCCACAGTGGCTCTCTGGCTGCGGCCACACACAGGCAACATATTTTGGAAGCAGTTTTTCTACTGGAATGTCCAAAGGACAAACTGAACGTGTAAGATCTGCAGGCTGGGCAGTCTTTGCTTTGGCACCTGCAGCGACTTTCCTCATCTTGACAGTCGAGCCATTCTCCTCYGCGGTGCAGTACTGAGGGTCCAGGAAGAGAAGGGTGCCCAGAGCCAGGGCACTGGAGGAGGCTGGCTGGTGGCGAGTGTGGCCCTTTGGGCTCAGCCTGTCTGTGGGCCGGGTAGGCTGGGGGTCCCCTCAGCCAGAGCTCACCGGGCTGGACGCCATGCTCGCTCCTTCTCTTTTTTAATTGTGATGAAATACACATAACAGAGAACTTACCACCCATGAYGTTTAGCACATCCACAGTATTATGCAGCTGTCACTGCCATCCAGGTCTTGCCATCTTTGTCACTCCAATAGAGATGCAGTCACTCCCAGGCCCCTCTTCCAACAGCCCCTGCCAATCCCCAGCTGGCATTCGCTCTCTGGATTTGCCCTTCTAGACGCTTCAAGTGGGTGGCCTCATACAGTTCGTGGCCTCTAGTGCCTGGCTCTCTCTTAGCATGACATTTTCAGGGTCCATCCGTGTCACAGCACCACGTCCGAATGACCTTCTACTRGATGTACGCATCCCGTGTGTTCATGCGTCCATGGAACTTGGGTGGCCAGTGCCATTGCGATCCATGCTGCTCTGAGCACTTGTGCCTGTGCTTTGGTTTGAGTACCTGTTTTCTCTTCTCTGGAGCCTCCTCTGCTCTTGCTTGCGCCTCCTGTGAATCTTCTGAGCCACACTTGATTCTGAGAGGTGGCGAGTGAGCGGGAAAGGAGGTGCCTGGGCTGGGCGCTGGGACGCCGGGGCCCGGAGCCGGCTGGGCTCAGCAAAAGCTTCCCCTTCCCTGGGCCTCAGTCTTCCCTGGAGAAAGGAGCTGCTCTGATCTCTGTCGCGTGTCCTCCTCGGGCTCTCGGCTTGCAGAGCTTCAGGGGAGGAGGGGCTGGACCCTGCTGTTCACAGCTGTTCTGCTCTCAGCTGGGGCGTCTCCTCTGCCTGAAAAGACTCTTCAGCAGAGCTTCCATGGATACCAGCAGCCTTGCCTACTCCAGCGACACAAGGACTCGCTGCAGCAGATGACCTCRAGAAGCAGACCAGGTCTCGGATGGAAGGGGCCTGGTCCTCTTGAGGGGGGATGCGTTGAGGGATGCTCAGTCTGCACTCGTGGCCCGCTGCAGGGAGGTGGGCAGGGAGGGGCAGTCGGTGGGGAGCAGGAGGCTGTCTACACACGTTTCCTTTGTGCTCCATCCAGGCAATCCTGCTGTTCTTGAAGAAATTCAGGACAGTGGGCAGAGTGTGGGTTCTGGAAGCATCCCACATGGGTCTGGGTCCCAATTCTACAGGTACTGGCTGTGTGACCTTGGGCAAGTCACTTGATTGCTCTGTGCCTCAGTTTCCTCACTTGTGAAGTGGGCATGGTTCCTACTTCACAGTTTCTTGTGAAGAATAAATGGGATTATCCCCCATTAAGGCCTAGAGCAGGACACAACCCTGGACAACACTTCACCACGGTAGCGTGACAGTGATGACACAGAGGATGAAGTGTCACCCCCACCCTGCAAATCACCCCCACCTGGCCCAGCTGACCCTCCCTACTCTGAAGTTTTATGGCTCTCAAGTTTCTCTACCCCATTAAATGTCTACTGGGTGTGTTCTTCCATCTCCCCAACCAGCTCCTCAGCTTTGAGGAGGCAGGCCTGGMCCTGGCTGCCAGTTGGTAAGGAGGGCCAAACCCCAGTAAGGGCTGGGGTTGGAGAGGAGACCCAGACACTTGCAGGTCTGCTGAAGACCACTAACAGCCTGTGACAGTCACTGGTGGTCAAGTCCAGGCCACTCGAGCATGGCAGAGGTGGGACTGGGTGTTGGTGTCGGTTTCTTTGGCTCAGAGAAGCTGGTCTTAAGTGGGACAGATGCTTTTCCTGGGGTCCTGGGTGAGTGTTCCATGGATTGGGAACAGCTGTGTATGTCTGGGGAGGAGGGAGTGGCTGGCAGCCACAGGTAGCTCCTAAGTCAGTGTTCCCTGGGGCCTCTGCTCGCCTGCACAGCTGCTCGTCAGAGCTTCGGTGACCCTGAGTGACCCAGAGCTTCAGCACAGCTGACCCTGGGCAGTGCTGATGCTGCTGTGTGTGCTGTTCCCTCCTTGACTGTGAGCTCGTTAGCTGCAGGCTTCCTTGTGGTCTCATTCACAGGCCGGCACACAGTAGGTGCTCAATAAGTGTCGATAGATCCATTCTGAATTCAAAAGTGGCACAGGGGACTTTCTCTTTGGAGGACAGTAGCGGTGGGAAGCCTTGCTGGGTGGGCTGAGTGATGGCTGAAGGATGTTAATGRAGGTCTTCTCTGGATGCTCTGAGTCATCAGAATAGAATATGTCTAGGGGTGGCTGGATGGTTGCACTGTGCACCCCATCTCCGGGTCACTAAGGCATGATGCTGGGCAAGGATATGGATCAGAGGGTTCCAGTTGATGAGCCTGTTCCTCCAAGTCTCCCGAGATTTGGGGAGAGAGTCGAGACACTGTGTTCACACTATCCACACCCTGCTCTGAGTAGTTAGCGAAACCAGAGGGARGCCAGCAGGTACTCCTCAGGGTGAGCAGTTATCCTAACGTTGACTTTCACTGTCTGCTGGGGGGGGGGGAGGTGGGAGGGGCTGAGGGGTACACCCAGCAACAGGGGCCACTTCTGACCTGGGGCCATTTGGGCACATGCTACCTTACCGGGGGCCTCAGGACAGGCAGCTCACATCATGTAGACCTGGTGACGCTGAGATAAAGGGGCCCTTACTGGGGACAGGCTTTGCCAGCCAGAGTATTGTGACTCGCCATTCCCTGGCCTGGAAGGGGATACTCTCTCAGTTCCGTAGGAAGCAGGGTGGGGGCTGCAGAGCCACGCTGTGTGCGGGATGATGGCCAGACGCTGGTGAGCAGTGGGGCTGGTACCGAGCTGGCACTGCTTGCGGCCCGTGTGTGCCCGCTTCACCCCATGCTGCTTTCTCCTGTAGCGACTTAAGAGTTGCTTAAATAACTGGCAAGTGCTCTCCAGAAACTGCTGTGCCGGGGGGGCTTTCGAGCTCTCACTTCCGCTATCTTCAGAATAAGCACACACACCCTTCGAATGCGTGTTTATTTCCACACTGCCTGCCCTTCCCCAGGCCCACCCCCTTCCCGCCATCCGCCCGCTCCTCCAGCCATCTGTCTCACACACGTTTATGAGAAACATCTCTGGCCCCAGGACACTGTAAGTCCCGGAGATACACCAGTGATGGCACAGTCCTGTCCTTCTGTGGTCGGATGGGATATTATCCAAACAACCAGGCAATCAGAACTCGGGGCGCTGCACCCACACTCCAGGGAGTATAGCCAGATATATTGGGAAATAGAGAGGACTAACCAAAGGAGGTGACACCCCCCTGCAGCAAGACCCCGAGGGCAGATTTTCCTAAGGAGAGTAAATGAACTGTGAAAAGGCTGAGGGACAGAGGACATGTGCTGGTTGGTCAGTGACTTAATTTGTGATTTCTGTAGTGGAAACCGATGACAGCAACCTGGACGATGGGGGAGCTGTTCTTGCTGTAGGCTGCTTCTTCCCTGGTCCCTGGTGCAGGCTAGTCTCCGGGCGACCGTCACCGGCTGCCTCTCGGTAGTGGCTGTTCTCGTTCTGTGAGGCTTGCTCTCCACCAGGGCCTCGGGCCTTCTGGCTGCGGGACCCGGTGGTGTTTTCTATGCTAACTGTTCTGCTTCCTGTTTTTGGTGGTGGTGCCTCCTTTTCTCTCAAGGCCAAGGGTAGTGTCTGTGGTCACAGGTGTCAACTCCTTTAGGTCCAAGTCCCAGAGGCTGCTGGCCCTGGGCAGACGGGCTGCTTCGTTCTAAGGCAGCCTGGCTGTGGACAGAGGGAGGGAGGCCTCTGCTCTGCATTCCCTGCTAGTCGAGGGCAGCAGCTCCGGGTTGTATCCCCACCAGGATCGAGGGAAACGTGTATAGTCCAACCTTAATTTAACGTACGATCCCTGCCAACTTCGTGTTAGCAGATCTGTTTGGAGCTGGAAGTAATGGGCCATATCATGCCTCAGAGCTGGAGCAATGACTTATGCTGATGTCACCCACTGGCTTTTTACTGAAATTATTAATAAATCAGTAATCCTATCTRCAGTGATGCTGTGGTGTTTATAAATATTTAATTTACCTTCAGGTGCCCACATTTTCTCCCTCTTTGCCTTAAACTCGGCTGACATTGCTCTTCTCTGAAGCACTGCTCAGTAGATCAAGTTATCAGTAGTGGGAAAGGCTACTCACTTCTCTCTCTCCTCTCTCTGGAATAAGGCTTTATCTCTTCTTTTCCTTTTAATCTTTCTGTGATTTGGCTCAGGGGGTTGGGAATCAAGCTGAGACAACKCGGCGTCTCTTGTGACAAAGCTTCAGAAAAACAGCCCAAACCTTCCACTCGACCTTGCCCAGGTGGAGACCCGTAGTTGGCATGTGCTTTTCCCTCCTTCAGATTAATGCCATTTAGAACCTGAGAGTGTGTCTGATGTTTTCTTCCCACAGAGAAATATTTTTGTCCTTGCCATTGACTCTTCTTTTGAAACCCGGTGCTTTGATCATTATCGTAAGCAGGTTCAGTGGACAGGACTGGAAAATCAAATCGAAGCCGCGTCCAGGTGGCACATTTTCCTGGCAGAGACGGAGTCCAGCCTGGCAGAGGAAGACCGCGGCTGGCAGCGACAAAGCTTTCTTACTTCTCAGGGTCCAGCGTGAGCTAATTGTTGTTATTATCTCTTTATTCTTCTGTTTCAGGAAATTGCAGCTTATTTAATAACATTTGAGAAACACGAAGAATGGCTAACCACGTCCCCTAAGACAAGGTAAGGCCCCGGATCTTGCCGTTTTCCGCTACTTACAGTGAATGGATTGGTTGACTTTCATGGGTGACCTGATCTGGCCAGTCAATTCAGGCAACAGGTGGAAAACGCCACATTGTGCCAGGTAGCCTGTGGCTCCGMGGTGCCGTTAACTGCCCAGGCCGTTGTAGCCAGTATAACCAGATGGACTCAGAATGGCCCCGCTGCCTCTGAGCGCTCGAGCACCTGTGCTGATGGCCAGGGCTGGACCCTTCCCCTGGGTTCCGGAGCCATTTTAGGCAGGGGCTGCAGGGGAGTTTATTTTGGGAAAGTGCCCCCCTGCCACTAGTATTCTCCCAAAATGTACCTTTAAAAGAGAAACTGGCTCATCTGCCCACTTTCATTTCAATGTGTTTTACACACTGCAAGTCGACTTGCTCCTGATTTCAGGTGAGAAGCTCCCCAAATCAGAAGCAGTGGCTGAGTTTGTGGTTTATTATGCAGTAAATGTCCTTGAACCTACTAACTGCCACAAGCATTTAACTTCGCTTGCCACTTGGGAACCGAGGGAATTGTCGCCAACACCGCTGCCCCAGTCCTGCCAGCAGAGGCTGCCGCTGGGCGGCGGGGAAGTGTGGCTGGGATCAGCGCTTATGTTAAAGGCAGCTGCTTTCCTCGCCAACTCTGAAGTTTTTATTTTTGGTGTGTTACATTCTAGAGCTTCAGAAATGTGTGGCCACTCTCTTCCAACGGCCACAACTTTTCCACTGGCGGTGACAGGCCAGCTGTCTGTTAGCTGAGGGTGTCAGCTGYGGTGTGGCTTGCGGGGTGACTGGCCTGCAGGTGGGAATCTAAGAGTGGAGTGCTCAGGCTGTCTCCTTGGWCAGAGGCACAGCGTCTCCGGGATCGCTAGCTGGAACCAGGGTAGGGGTGAGATGGGTCCTCTGCACCCTTGGTCACAAGCCTGACTCGGCTATGTGCTGAGCCAGGGAGGAAAGATCTGCCCCTTGAGAATGTTCACTTATTCAAGAGGTATTTTAAACTCCAGCTTCCTCAGCTCAGGGGTTTCCTGGTTAGCATCCTTTAGATGAGGGCAGAATGTTCCATTTGGAGGTTAGGGATATTGAGGAAAGGGAGATCAGTGGCTGAAATCCCCCTCCCCTGGGGTGGCTCTGACTCATGTGACTTTGCAGCCTGAGACATGGAGAAGAGTCCCTCTGCAGGTGTCCTTAGCACCTCAGCCTTCTGGAGCTGTGACTCTCCTTGCTATAAAACCAAATGGCTTACATCAGTCAGCTGTTGCTGTGGTAATGCTACGTAAGAAACAACCCCCAATGTAGTGACTTTATAATAACAAACTTTTATTTCCTGCTTGTGGGTCTGTGATTGCCTGTGGCTTTGGATCAGGACTGCTCCATGCATATTGTTCTAGGACCTAGGCTGGGGAAGCTCCCGCTGTCTGGGACAACTGGTTCTCATGGGAGAGGCAGCGGCTGAGAAGCYGGAGGCAGCAAATGCGGGTGAAGCTAAAACCCCTGTCTGGACGTGGCATTGGGTGTCATGCAGGCTTGCCGATCCACGGCCAAAGCAAGTCCATGGCCAACCCCAGCAAGAATGGGGCCGGGAAGGACATTCTTCTGAGGAGGGGCAGGAGTCGGGAGTGCAGAGTCATGGTGACACAGTCTGCCATTTGGTGGACTCAGCCACAGCCCAGACTGTGGGAAACCCAGCCCAGTCCTCTTCTGTCTTCTGAGGGCAGCTTCCAGGGCAGTCACCGCAGCCTGTGGCCATCAGAGCTAGCTGCAGGACTTGCTAGAACTCATGCTGCTGGGCTCCCCCCAGTTTCCGACTCGCTGTTTGAACACAGGTGAGGGATGAACACAGGCCATGGCATGTGCCGGGCTGGACTCCCTTCCAGAAGCCCTGGCCTAGGTTCTTTGGGGAGAGGGAGGTGTGTGCTGTTTCCTGGTGGCACTGGTGCCTGTCTCTGCAGCCTCCAGCCTCTCCAAGGCTCTTGGCTCCTCCATGAGAGGCCCCTCCAGTCTGAGTGGGAGGAAAGAGCTTCTCCTGAGCCTGAGCAAGGCTCTCCGGAGTGTGCCGGCTTCAGACATGCGCACTGGTGTGGACTACAGCACTGCAGCACATCCAAGGCGAGGGTTTTACCGCCTCCCAGCCTCCAGAATCTGGGTCTTGATTGAGAAGTGGATGTCACTCGGGGACTTTTTGGACTGTAAAAGGAGCAAGAGACTTACTGTCCCAAGACACAGTGCATGCAGGGAGGAGAGGAAATGTGGGTTCCCACATCGACGGGCTTGGGTTTGAGCCCTGGCTTTGTCACTCAGTAGTTTTGTGACAGTAAGAAAATCATTTCAGCTCCTTCAAAAGCTCCACTGTTTTTTCTTCATGTAGAAAGTGAGTTATGCTGACCCTGTCCTCACAGAGCCATGGGAGGACTGCATGAGGGGATATTTGTGATCCTGCTTTGCACCTGCGAGGGTCCGTCATTCACAGGTGTCCCAGTTCCTCTGTCTGAAGGGCAGTCCCCAACCTGCCAGAGGCCCAGACTTCAGGAAGCATCTGCCAGAGTTTCCCCAGGCCCTGGAAGGACAAATTCTTTTCCTAAAGGCAGAGGGTGGGGCTAGGCGGTCCTATTAGTATTATAATATGCTCTCAGTGTTTACACTTGAAAGCTTTGGGTCCCTGGAGAAGGAAAAGTTGCCTTCTTGTTCAAGGACCTTCCTAAATTAGTTGTTGAGTTGGGTTTGACTCCCCCACCCATCTCCGGTATTGAAATTAATTGGTGCAGTTAACTGCTGAGTTCATACAAACCGGCCTCCTGGTATTAAGGAATTAATGACACCAATACTCTGCTGAATGAGAAGGCAGCACAACTTCTGTTTGCCACCACCGCCGCCACTGCTAATTTCATTTTAGAAAATTAATAAAAATGAATTGCACCACTGACATTTATAGAGTTTCTTAATAAAATGATACATTGTTTGTGTGGAGGAATCCCTATTAAATTAATTGTTGTAATCAGTTCACATATAGATGTTGGTATAGGAGCTGCAGAGGGACCCACTGCTTGTCTCCAAGGCTTGCTGAGGGCTGGGGGTTATAAATAGAGCCCTTGCTCAGTTATTGCCCTAATTACAGAGTGGGCCCCGGAGCCAGCTCACCTGTTTAATAAGGAGGCCTACTGCAGGGAGTCCCAGGGCTGGGGCTGGGGCAGCTGTGCTGCTGCCCCAGGACCAAGTGCTGAGTGTTCATGCCACTGTACTGTGCTATCAGCAGCTGGGACCTTCATCTTGAAACATCACCCTTCAGGATGTCTTTATTTGGCACTTGCTGTGTGCTCAGCACAATGATAATCCCTCTTGGAGAGCTAGCTGAATGCCACACTCCCTGCCCTGCCCAGTGAACCTGGGATCTTGACATGAAGAGCATCCTCCCTCTGTCTGGAAGATCCATCTGTCTCCTCTATCAGATCCGTCTGTCTCCTCATTGACCCCATGCCCCTCCCACACAGAGGACCCTTCCCTCTTCTTTGCCTGGTTCTCAGGGCTCAACCCACCTGAGGCACTTTGCGTTTCACCGTTGCTTTGTTGGTTGGTTGATTCATGTCTGGCCCCTCAGGTGTGACTACCACAGGAAAGGGATCTTATGATGGAGTGGTTTGCAGGGTACCCCAAGCACCAAGAGCAGAGCCAGATGCACAATAGGCCCTTGACACATATTTGTGAAATGAGCAAGAACAAGGTAAAAAATTGCGTCTGCGTCTGTGCAGGAAGAGCCCTGGCTTCCTCGTGTTATTTCTTCTGGCCTATCTGGCACCAGCATTGGCCAGCTGACCAGGACTGTGTCCTGGGCATTTGCTCTAGGCTACATGCTAAGTTTAAGTTTATTACCAGGGCTGGGAAGGTGGAGGTCCCCCTCCCAGGGCTGCACAGAGGGTGTTGGAGCTGGAACTTGAACCCAGAATGATCTTCCTGCAGAGCCCCTAACCTGCCCCTCATGTTGTACCTCCACTGCCCAGAGTGGGTATGGGGACCTGATGGTAGCCAGGATATGGCTCCACCATCCCTCTGYACCTCCGTTCATGAATTTTGAACCAGCCCAGAGACCCAGGCAGCATGGGCAGGGCCTCCCTTTGTGGGCGAGTGTGGCCTGGGCATAGCAGCCAGTGGCTTCCTGCACCTCTCTGGGACCAGGTTTGGCTCCCAGGCAGAGGCCATGCAGAACACACACTGTCAYGGAGCAAGGCCCCTCCACCTTGGGGCTGCAGCAGAGCTGAGCAGGGTGCAGGCAGCAAATGCAAAACTGAGCAATCCCCGCCATTCATTTCTCTTCCCCTGGGAAACGGAGAACCTTCTGTGGACACGCAAGCCTCTAGATCGAAGGGAAGGCATATCCTTCCCAGGAATCCTGCTGTACCAGCTAGAAGGAGGCTGGAAAATGCTATTAATTGTCTAATTAATTAATTGGATTGATACAGATAGCACCTTAACACTGATGCACTAAGGTCTAGTAATAGAATCTTCTATAATGAACACTAAATGCTGCTTCGTCAATAAGCAGTGAAACCAGAGTAGCAGGAGGTGGAAGGGAAGGAGGAGAAGCAGCCCTGAGTGCAGGGGCATCCGGGCTACCCTGCTCCTGGGTTTTCTTGACCCATGTCCTGGCTCTTCAAGTGCCTGGAGCCGTCTGCCGCGGTCTGGTCTGCGGCYGGTCGCCAGCCTCCTTGGGCGCCTGGATGTCTGTGGATCTCAGACTCCTCCTGGCTCCTCCCTCTYCCCTGGTGCCCCGCTGGCCTGCTTCTTCTGACTTCTCTGGTTCCCACGAGGGCTGTCTCCTTTTTAAGGACGCCAGAGCACAGTGCTCCCCAGGACTCCTCGCTCCCTTTGCGCCCTGGGTCTAGTGAGTGCCCACCAGCCCTGCCTTCCCTGCGGAGTCCCCACGCTTGCGACCCTGGGGTGGCCGAGGTGGCTCTGGCCCCTCCTTTCTAGGATGGCTCCTTCTGCCTT